GGGGCGGGGGCGGGCCTGAGGGTCGCGGGCTGGCCTGAGCGGGTGGAAGGACATGGGGCGTGGATTCTCCAAGGAAATGAAAGGCGCAGGGAAGGCGGAGCGCGGAACTCAGAGGCTGGAGCCTGGCTGAGCTCTGGCTCTGCCCCTGGCCTGCTGCGCGCAGTTATAACTTGGGAACCATCAGCGGCTCAGCCCCGGGCCTCCTCATCCGCCGAGGGGCCGAGGGCGTTGGTAATACTTCCTGCCCTGCTAAGCCCCCAGGATGGTCACGGAGTCACAAAGCGTTTCCCAGCTGCGGACTTGGTCGTCTACTCGTCACCACCAGGGTCCGACCAGGAGCAGGGAGACCCGCCGCCAGGGAGAGGAGGCCAGGGCTGTGTGGCCGGGAAGTTGCCCCTGGCCTGGGTGCAGAGCCCCCCAGGAGAGCGGAGAGTAACTGCCGAGCGGTCCGGCGCAGTCGGGCTGTGTCCCATCCTGCGGGATGCGGGGGCCACTGTGCCCGAGCACCACCCCGAGGCCCTGGGGCGGAGGACGGGGACCCGCCGGTCCCGTGGTCCCGGTTAGCTGTCTGTTCACCCAAGGACGGGAGCGCCTGTGATCCCCGGGCCTTCGAGGAGCAACTCATTTCTGTATTTTCTAACAAGCACAGTTGTCACGATGGCAAAGAAAAGATGTGAACATCTTCTCTCTCTCGGTTAATCCTCTGTGTTCTCCCTCCTGACTGCCGGCCTGTACCCGCCAGCTCGCGCTTCCTCCCCAGCACGGTTGCCACCTCACCACCCGAACCCCACCCTCGAGGTTCCCCGTCCGCCACCTGCATCGCACCCTAGGAAGTAGTGTTGCCCATCAGAGCTCTGGAGAGTCCAGGCTGGTTGGGAGACCCCCTGGGCATTAGAAAAAGCAGCTCTGTATTTTTCCTTGAAAAGTAACACTGCCATCCTGATAGGAAATCCCCAAATCCCATCAATTGAAGATAAGCACACATCGCGATAAGCATTCCTTTGGGAATCCCTGTTTGGTTTTCGCGATGCCCAGAATTCTGCACAAGGACTGCTACGCAAACCAGCGCTCAGCTAGCTTTCCCTGTGCGTAGTGTGTGCCATTCACGTTTCCACCTCTGGATTCATTTGTAATGCTGTTTTCTGCAATATGTTTATACCATGCTTTAACCATTCTTTTTGACAGTCTTGATATATAGCCCAGGATAGCCTTGAATTGGCAATCCCCCGCCTTGGTCTCCCCAGGGCTGGGATTACAGATGTGCGCCACCACTCAACTGTAACCATTCCTATTGTCCCCACATTTTCAATACTGTCGTCATGCTTCAGTAAATACCTTTGCTGTCATGAATACCTGTACTATGGTCTCAGTGGGAAAAAGTTCCCAGAAAAGGTATCATGGATGAAAGAGTGCATCTACTTATATTTAATTATGCTTCGGAACAAAACGAGGTGGTGAAGCAGTTAGAAGTTCAAAAGTTAAAACCAGCACAATAAAAACCCGGTGTAATGAATAGAAACCTCCTAGCTCCGTCTCTG